ACTTCACTGCTTCCAATCCCGTACCTCCCACAGTACCCTACAAGTGCCCTTCATAACCTCACTGGTTCTTCCACAGCCACCTCCATACCCTCCTCAATGGTATTCCACTACAGGTTCTCCCTCGCCTGTCAGCTTTCGGTGGCCAGCGTGAGCTGTACATCAGGAACGGAGGCTGTGATCACCACTGTCAGGTGCAGCAGGGCCCGCGTCCTCCTGCTCCTGCAGGCGAGGGTATGTCTCCAAAACTAGTTCTCCAACCATCTTATTGTAGTGAAAAGGAAAATGTATGCCGACAACTTGCAACAAAGTGGGACATGACTGCGTTCACATGTGACACTTTATTTGAAGAACTTTTTTAGTCCTGAAGTGACCCAGGAACAAAGACCTTAACATTTTACCTTCTTTGAAGATGTGAAAGTGAATGAACCTCACCTTTCAGTTTCCTCAAGAAAACATCTTAGGTAATACTTGTTTTTAAGGGTTCCTTATATTGTATCCCAAAGGATTTACCCTTAGTGCTTATTATTATCATTAATCTCTGAGTTTTCATGTGGGTAAATAATAATAATAATAATAATAACAATAACATATAATAATATTATTATTGTTATTATTATTATTTATTATATTATTATTTATTATTTTTAATTATATTATTATTTTTATTTATTAGTAGTAGTAGTAGTAGTTAGTAGTAGCAGTTAGTGTAGTAGTCAGTAGTTTTTAGTAGTAGTAGTTGTAGTAGCAGTAGTAGTTAGTAGTAGTTGTGTAGTTGTATTAGTAAGCGTAGTAGTAGTAGCCAGTAGTAGTAGTAGTTGTAGTAGTTGTAGTAGTAGTAGTAAGCTGTAGTAGTTGTAGTAGTAGTAGTAGTAGTAGTAAGTAGTAAGTAGTTGTTGTCTGTAGTAGTAGGTAAAAAAAAAAAAAGGGCCGGGTAGTAGTAGTAGTAGTGTAGTAGCAGTAGTAGTAGTAGTAGTAGTAGTAGTAGTAGTAGTAAGTAGACAGTAGTAGTAGTAGTCAGTAGTAGTAGTAGTAGTTAGTAGCAGTAGTAGTAGTTAGTAGTAGTAGTAGTAGATAGCAGTAATAGTTGTAGCAGTATTAGTAGTAGTAGTAGTAGTTAGTAGTAGTAGCAGTAGTAGTAGTGTAGGTAGTATATAGTAGTAGTAGTAGTAGTAGTATTAGTAAGTAGTTGTAGCAGTAGTCTGTAGTAGTAGTAGTAGTAGTAGTAGTTAGTAGCAGAGTAGTTGTCTTGTTAGTAGTAGTAGTAGTAGTAGTAGCATTTGTCAGTAGTAGCAGTTGTAGTATGTAGTAGTAGTATTGCAGGAGTTTAGTCTTAGTAGTTGTAGTTGTAGTAGCAGTAGTAGGCGCTGTAGTAAGTAGTTGCATAGTAGTGTAGTAGTAGTAGTAGTAGCAGTGTAGTTGTAGTTGTAGTAGTAGTAGCATGTAGTATTTGTTGTAGTAGTTGTAGTGTGTAGTTGTAGTATGTGTCGCAGTAGTAGTAGTAGTAGTAGATAGTATTAGTAGTTGTAGTTGTTGTAGCAGTGTAGTAGTAGTAGTAGTAGTAGTTGTAGTATTTGTTGCAGTTGTAGTAGTAGTAGTAGTTGTAAGTAGCAGTAGTAGTAGGTAGCAATAGTAGTAGTTGTAGTAGTTTGTAGTTGCAGTAGTAGTTGTTTGTAGTAGTAGTAGTAGTAGCTGTAGTAGTAGCTGTAGTAGTAGTAGCCAGTAGTTAGTAGTAGTAGTAGTAGTAGTAGTAGCAGTAGTAGTAGTGTCAGTTGTAGTAGTAGAAGTTGGTGTTGTAGTTAGAGTAGTTGTTAGTTGCTAGTTGTAGTTGTAGTTGTAGTTAGTAGCAGTAGTAGTAGTAGTAGTAGTAGTAGTTGTAAGTAGTAGTAGCAGTTGAGTAGTAGCAGTAGTTGTAGTAGTAGCAGTATTGTAGTTGCATGTAGTAGTAGCAGTAGTAGTAGTAGTATCAGTAGTAGTCGTAGTAGTTGTAGTAGTAGCAGTAGTAGTAGTTGCGGTAGTAGTAGTAGTAGTAGTAGTAAGTATGCGTAGTAGTTAGTTAGTAGTAGTAGTAGCCTGTAGTAGGTGTAGTAGTGAGTAGTAGCAGTGTTGTAGTAGTAGTAGTAGTTAGTAGCAGTAGTAGTAGTAGCCCAGTAGTTGTTTTAGTAGCAGTAGTAGTAAGTAGCTTGCAGTAGTAGTACTATTAGCAGTGTAGTTAGTAGTAGCTGTATAGTTAAGTTGCAGTAGTAGTAGACAGTAGTAGTTGCAGTAGTAGTTAGTAGTAGTAGTATAGTAGTTGTCAGTAGTAGTAGCCAGTAGTAGTTAGTGCTGTAGTATTAGTAGCAGTAAGTATTTAGTAGCAGTAGTAGTAGTAGTTGTAGTTTAGTAGTAGTAGCAGATAGTAGTAGTAGTCTTTGTAGAGTTAGTTTTAGTAGGAGTAGTAGTAGTTGTAGTAGCAGTAGTAGCAGTAGTTGTTGTAGTAGTAATAGTAGTAGTTGCAGTAGTAGTTGTAGCAGTATAGTGTGTAGTAGTAGTAGTAGTAGCTGTAGTAGTGTAGTAGTAGAGTAGTAGCAGTAGTTGTAGCAGTCAGTAGTAGTATATAGTAGTAGTAGGATAGCAGTAGTAGTAGTTGTAGGTAGTAGGAGTAGTAGTAGTAGTTGCAGTAGTGTAGTCAGTAGTAGTTGCAGTAGTAGTAGTTGTAGTAGTAGTAGTAGTAGCAGTAAGTAGTAGTAGTAGTAGTAGTAGTAGCCTGAGTAGGTTAGTTGTTAGTAGTAGTAGTAGCAGTAGTAGTCAGTGTAGTATTAGTAGTAGCAGCTGCAGGTATGTGTAGTAGTAGTATTAGTAGTAGCAGTAGTAGTAGCATTAGTAGTAGCGTGTAGTGTAGTAGTAGTAGTAGTAGTAGTTTGAAAGTAGTAGTAGAAGTAGTAGTAGTAGTTGCCAGTTGTAGCAAGTAGTAGTAGTAGTAGCTGTAGTAGTAGTAGTAGTAGTAGCAGTTAGTGTAGCAGTAGTAGTAGTAGTAGTAGTAGCAGTTGTAGTAGTAGTTGTTGTAGTAGTAGCAGTTGTAGAAGCTAGTAGATAGTAGCAGCAGTGTAGTAGTAGTTAGTAGTAGGCCCAATAAAGAGCTGTTGTAGTAGTATAGTAGTAGTAGCAGTAAGTAGTTGTTGTAGTAGTAGTTGACAGTAGTAGTCTGTAGTAGTAGTAGTATTAGTTAGTAGCCAGTAGTAGTAGTAGTTGTAGTATTAGTAAGTATGCAGTAGTTGTAGCAGTAGTGTAGGAGCAGTAGTTAGTAGTAGTAGTAGTAGCAGTGTTGTAGTAGTTTGTAGTAGTATTTTAGTAGTAGTAGTAGCAGTTGTAGCAGTTGTAGTAGTAGTAGTAGTAGTAGTAGCAGTTGATAGTTTGTGTTGTAGTAGTAAGTAGTAGTAGTTTTTGTTGTAGTAGTTGTAGTAGCGTAGTTGTAGTAGTGTAGTAGTTGTAGCTGTCAGTAGTAGTAGTTGCAGTTGCTTTAGTAGTAGTAGTGCAAGTAGTAGCTAGTAGTAGCAGTAGTAGTAGTTGTAGTCGTTGAGTAGTTAGTAGTGTAGCAGTCATGTAGTTGTAGTAGGGTAGTAAAGTAGTGAGTATTAGTAGTAGTAGTATTGTAGTAGTGTAGTAGTAGTAGTAGTAGTAGCAGTAGTAGTAGTAGCAGTTAGTAGTTGGTAGCAGAGTAGTAGTAGTGCAGTGCTGGTAGTAGTTGCAGTAGTAGTAGTTAGTTGCAGTAGTTTGTAGTAGTTGTAGTAGCGTAGTAGTAGTAGTAGTAGTAGTAGTATTAGGTAGTAGCTTGTAGTAGTAGCAGTAGTAGTAGTAGCAGAGTAGTTGCTGTAGTTGTTGTAGTATTAGTAAGTAGAGTAGTAGTAGTAAGTAGTAGTCAGTAGCAGTCGTAGTAGTAGTGTAGTAGTAGTAGCAGTTAGTAGTAAGCAGTAGTAGTAGTAGTTGAGTAGTAGTAGCAGTAGTTGTAGTTAGCAGTTGTACGTAGCTGTTGTAGTAGTAGTTAGTAGTAAGTTTAGTAGTAGTAGTAGTATAGTAGTATTAGTAGTTGCAGTAGTAGTAGCCAGTTGTAGTAGCTAGCAGTAGTAGTAGTAGTATTGTAATAGTAGTTGTAGTAAGTAGGGAAGTTGTAGTCAGTTGTAGTTAGTAGTAGTAGTTAGCAGAGTAGTAGTAGTAGTTGTTGGCGGTAGTAGTAGTAGCAGTAGTTGTTGTAGTAGTAGTAGCAGTAAGCATTTGTAGTAGTTGCAGTAGTAGTAGTAGTTGTAGTAGTAGTTGTAGCTGTTGTAGTAGTTAGAAGTAGTAGTAGCAGTAGTATGTAGTAGTAGTAGTTAGTAGCAGTAGTAGTAGCAGTAGTATTAGTAGCAGTAGTGTTGGTGTAGTAGTAGTTGTTTAATTAGGGGTAGTAGTTGTAGTAGTGAGTAGCAGTAGTAGTTGTAGTTGTTGTGTAGTCTGTGTAGTAGCAGTAGTGTAGTAGTAGTAGTTGTAGTAGTAGCGTAGTTAGTAGCAGTAGTAGTAGTAGTAGCAGTAGCTTGTTGTAGTAGTAAGTGTATTAGTAGTAGCAGTTGTAGTAGCAGTAGTAGTAGTAGTATTAGTAGTAGCAGTAGTAGTAGGTGCAGTAGTAGTAGTAGCAGTAGTAGTAGCAGTAGAGTAGTTGTAGCAGTGTAGTATAGTAATAGTAGAGTAGAGTAGTAGGAGTAAGTAGTAGTAGTATAGTAGTAGTAGTAGTAGCAGTAGTTAGTAGTAGTAGTAGCAGTAGTAGTAGTAGCAGTAGTAGTAGTAGTGTTGTAGCAGTTGCAGTAGTAGTAGTAGCTGTAGTAAAATAGTAGTAGTAGTAGTAGTAGTAGTAGTATGTAGTAGTAGTAGCCAGTAGTAAGATAGTAGAAGTAGTAGTAGGAGTAGTAGTAGTAGTTATTTTTTTATTATTATTGTGTGTTCTAGGTACGTCTATGGTCAGACAAGCGTTCGATGTGTACCAACCAACCCAAATGGCGCAGTCTCGACAACGGCGGGTTGCCACGTCCGGTGACACGTCGACGAGGGCGGGCACAATGCTCCTGTTCGTCCCGGGTACGACCTAGACGACGACCACACCACCTGCATCGACCAGGACGAGTGCAAGACTCCGGGCAATCTGCAGTCACCTGGTGCCACAACTCCAGGGTTCTTTTTTTAATAACCTGTGCCTCTGTTACCCCGGTTACGAGCTGGCACCAGATGGCAGGTCGTGTTATAGTAAGTAGTTCAGGCCGCCTCTGTGATAGATCAGGCCGTTCTGGGTAGATCAGGCCGCTCTGTCATAGGTCAGGTTGCTCTGTAATAGGTCAAGCCGCTCTGTGATAGATTAGGTTGCTCTGTGATAGGTCATGTTGCTCTGTGATAGGTCAGGTCGCTCTGTGATAGGTCAAGTCGCTCTGTGATAGGTCAGGTCGCTCTTTGATAGGTCAGGTTGCTCTGTGATAGGTCAGGTTGCTCTATGATAGGTCAGGTCGCTCTGTGGTTGGTTAGTCTGCTCTGTGATAGGTCAGGTCGCTCTTTGATAGGTCAGGTTCCTCTAAATTATTTCAGGTCGCTATATGATAGGTCAGGTAGCTCTAAAATAGGTCAGATCGCTCTGTGATAGGTCAGGTCGCTCTGTGAAAGGTCAGGCCGCTCTGTGGTAGGTCTGGTCTTTCTGTGATAGGTCATGTCCTCTAAAATTGGTCAGGTCATCTATGGATATGTCAGGCAGCTGTTTATTAGGTAGGATGCTCTTTGATTACCTCAGGGAAGCTATATTACACATTTCAAGTCTTCTATGATTCATCAGGCAGATCTGTGATTCCTCAGGCACCTGTGTTACCTCAGGCAGCTTTGATAATTCAGGGAGCTCTATGATACCTCAGGCAGCTCTATGATACTTCAGGCAGCTCTGTGATACCTCATGCGCTCTGTGATATTCAGCAGCTCTGTGATGATTCAGGCAGCTCTTATGTATGATACCTCGGGAAGCTCTGTGATACTTCAAGCTGCTCTGTGATTCCTAAGGCAGCTCTGTGATACCTCAGGCAGCTCTGTGATACCTCAGGCAGCTCTGTGATACTTCAGGCAGCTCTATGATACTTCAGGCAGCTCTGTGATACTTCAGGCAGCTCTGTGATACCTCAGGCAGCTCTATGATACTTCAGGCAGCTCTGTGATACTTCAGGCAGCTCTATGATACTTCAGGCAGCTCTGGTGATGCTTCAGGCAGGCTCTATGATTACTCAGCAGTTCTATGATAATTCAGGCAGCTCTGTGACACTTCAGGCAGCTCTATGATATTTCAGGAAGCTCTATGATATTTCAGGCAGCTCTGATGCTTCAGGCAGCAATATGATACTTCAGGCAGCTCTATGATGCCTCAAGTAGCTCTATAATACTTCAAGCAGCTCTGTGTAACTCGGGCCAGCTCTAATTATTCAGGCAGCTCTGGTTATATTTCAAGAGCTCTGTGATAACTCGGGCAGACTCTTTCGATACTTCAAGCATGTCTATAATACTTCAAGCAACTCTGATACCTCAGGCAGCTCTGTGATACTTCAGGCAGCTCTATGATACTTCAGGCAGCTCTATGATACCTCAGGCTGCTCTATGATACCTCAGACAGCTCTATGATATTCAGCAGCTATGTGATATTCAGGCAGCTCTGTGATACTTCAGGCAGCTCTATGATTACCTCAGGCAGCTCTGTCTGATACTTCAGGGCAGCTCTGTGATACTTCATGCAGCTCTGTGATACTTCAGGGCAGCTCTGTGATACTTCAGGAATCTTATGCTACCTCAGGCAGATCTGTGATACTTCAGGCAGCTCTGTGTATTAAAAAAAAACATTAGCAGCTCCTGTGATACTGTTATGTGGGTTTCGAAAACGGGATAGGGTATATTAAAATACTCCACGTAGGCTGGTAAGTACGTTAATATATAGACACCCATTTGCATATATCAAACTCACCCTAGGAGAGTTGGGGTTAAATGTAAATAACCTGTATAGATGAATAATTACAGTATCAACTTTATCAGTATTCAAGAATTTTTATTTTGTTGTTTCCGTTCTCTCCGAAAAAATTTTTTGAGAGTTATCGTCTAGATGTTGAGTGCACCCGAATCTGCCTTTATGTTAACAATTCTTTCTTTGTATTTATTCCTTTCCTCAGAATCCGTTAGATCACATGAATACGATCGATCGATCAAATTGTTTTTTTATCATTCTATTGTGTAATCCTCAACGTTGATTTTTCTTCGATGAGTTTTGCTATATTATACCTTGTATTGCATTACAGTTTCAGTTACTGTAGTTCCCAATCCAATTATTCTACTTATGTATGTTATAATGTTCAATTGTTGGTACTTTGACATTGTTAGAATCAGCCCAAGCCGTTATACATGCCATCGTCTAGTTTGTATTAGTTGTATGTCGGGCGAATACGTTAGCGTCGCTGAGTTCTCAGTAGTAGTACCGTTCCTAGTAACCAGTTACCAGTATCCATGTACCAGTAAGAATGACTCACTACCAACGTCTCTGCGTGAATCACTGTCTGTATTATATTCGACTGCTGACCATTTAAAAAAAACAAGCAGGATTTCTAACCCACCTCACATAGGACACTGTGGGTCAGCTGTCCTACGATTAGAGGAGCAGAGAAGGTAGGACGGCGGTTGGCGCCTTCACACTCATTCCGTTATTTTATACGTATACCGCCTACTGAGTATTTTACCTTATTCCACTTTTTCGAAACCCAAATTGGTCAATACTACATGCAGCTCTGTGATACTTCAGGCAGCTTACAGATACTTGAGGCCAGCTCTTTGATATCTCGGGCAGCTCTGTGATACTGAGGCAGCCTGTGATACTTAAGCAGCTCTATGATACTTCAGGCAGCTCTGTGTACTTCAGGCAGCTCTGTAATACTTCAAGCAGCTCTATGATTACTTCAGGCAGCTCTGTGATACTTCCGGCAGCTCTGTGATGCTTCAGCAGCCTCCTGTTGATACATTCAGCTCTAAGATGCTTCAGACAGCTTTTGATACTTCAAGCTGCTCTGTGATACTTCAGGCAGCTCTATGTGAATTAGGCCACCTCCATGATACTTCAAGCAGCTATCATGATTCCTCAGGCAGCTCTATGATATCTCAGGCAGCTTTGTGATACTTTGAGGCAGCTCTGTGATACTTGAGGAAGCTCTGTGATACTTCAGACAGCTCTGTGATACTTCAGGCAAGCTCTGTGATGCTTCAGACAGTTCTGTGAAACTTAGGCAGCTCTGTCATACTTCAAGCAGCTCTTGTTACTTCAGGCAAGCTCTGATGATTCTTCAGGCAGCTCGTGGATTTCAGACAGCTCTGTGATACTCGGCAGCTCTGGGATACTTCAGGCAGCTCTTATGATACCTCTGGCAGCTCTTTGGATTTCAGGTAGCTCTGTGTACTTCAGGCAGCTCTATTGATAACTTCAGACAGGTCTATGTACTTCAAAACAGCTCTATGATACTTAAGACCGCCTCTGCGATACTTCAGGCAGTTCTATAATATTTCAGGCAGCTCTGGGATACTTCAGGCAGCTCTGTGATACTTAAGGTAGCTTCTGTGATACTTCAGGCTGCTCTATGATACCTCAGGAGCTCTGTGATAACCTCAGGCAGCTCTATGATACCTTAGGCCAGCTCTGTGATACTTGAGGCATCTTCTGTGATACTTTAGGCCAGCCTGTGATTATTCAGAAAGCTCTGTGATATTTCAGGCAGCTCTGTGAGTTCCAAACCGCTCTGTAAACTGCAGCAGCTATATGATATTGCAGGCAGCTCTGTGATAGTCAGACAGCTATGTGACTATTCAGGCATGCTCTTATGATACTTAGGCAGCTCTATGAATTTTCAGGCACTCTATGATACTTCAGGCAGCTCTGATACTTCAGGAAGCTCTATGATACTTCAAGCAGCTCTATAATACTTCAAACAGCTCTGTGATAACTAGGGCAGCTCTATGATGCTTCAGGCAGCTCTATGATACTTCAGGCAGCTCTGTGATACTTCAGGCAGCTCTGTGATACCTCAGGCAGCTCTGTGATACTTCAGGCAGCTCTACGATACTTTTGGCAGCTCTATGAAACTTCAGGCAGCTCTATGATACCTCAGACAGCTCTATGATGCTTCAGACAGCTTTGTGATACTTCAGGCAGCTTGTGGATACTTCAGGGGGGGGGGCTGCTCTAAGATGCTCCAGGGCAGCTATATGATACGTCAGGAAGGCTCTGTGATATTCAGGCAGCTCTATGATACTTAAGACAAGCTCTATGATACTTTCAGCAGCTCTATGAATCTTGAGCAGCTTGTGATACTTGATGCATCTCTATGTTACTTCCAGGCAGCTCTGTGTGATACTTTCAGGCAGCTCTGTGTTACTTCAGTGTCAGCTCTGTTGATACTTCAAGCAGCTCTATGATACTCATGCAGCTCGATGATCCTAAGGAAGCTCTGTGATACTTCTAGAAAACGCTTTCTTTGTGATATTCAGAACAGCTCTTTTTGTGACTCTTTAGGCAACTCTGTGATACTTCAGGCAGCTTGTGATATTCAGACCAAGGGGGGCCCCTTATGTGATATTAGGAAGCTTTATGATACTTCAGGCAGCTCTATGATACTTCAGGCAGCTCTATGATACTTCAGGCAGCTCTGATACTTCAGGCAGCTCTATGATACTTCAAGCAGCTCTATAATACTTCAAACAGCTGTGTGATAACTCGGGCAGCTCTATGATGATTCAGGCAGCTCTATGATACTTCAGGCAGCTCTGTGATACTTCAGGTAGCTCTGTGATACTTCAGGCAGCTCTGTGATACTTCAGGCAGCTCTACGATACTTTTAGCAGCTCTATGATACTTCAGGCAGCTCTGTGATACCTCAGGCAGCTCTATGATATATCAGGCAGCTCTTTGATACTTGAGGCAGCTCTGTGATACTTCTGACAGCTCTTTGATACTTCAGGCAGCTCTGTGATGCTTCAGATAGCTCTGTGATATTTCAGGCAGCTCTGTGATACTTCAGGCAGCTTGTGATACTTCAGGTAAGCACTATGACACTTCAGGCTGCTCTATGATACTTCAGGCAGGTCTGTGATAATTCAGGCAGCTCTCTATGATACTTCAGCATCTCTGTGATACTTCAGGGCATCTCTGTGATAATTCAGGCTGGCTCTATGTTACTTCAGGCAGCTATGTG